AAAAAAAAAAAAAAAAAAAAAAAAAAAAGAGATCTTGGCCTTTGCTGTCAGCTCCTAATAGCTCTCTTCTCTAAGTCATTGGAATATACTTCTTCATAACATTTTGTTTTGTTTTTTAACCTAGAGGCCTTTGGGTCATACCATATTGTCTATACTAACAAACTGAGTTACGGTGGGAGGTTGGGATATGCAGTTTCAGTTTAACCTCCTCAGGGGCTGGAAACTAAGGTCAGCCATACAGATTAGTAGTACTCTGTGAGTATTTTTTTTTTTTTTTTGCAACTTCTTCTCATTCATGCTTTATTGAAAGTAGAGTATAAGTCAAAGACAGGTATGAGCAAGCAGATTGTGTCTCTAAAGAATCACTTTTAGTTCAGAATAGAATGCTTGTTGTCTCATCTACTGTGATACAAATCCTTTATGGCCCAGTGTATCTGGTATGAAACTCAAGCAAGGATATATAACAGAGCTTTATTCCTTTCCATGACTGTACATCTCATATGTAAACATGATTTAATGTTACTGCTACTAGTTTGATTTTTACTTGCCCCCTTTTCTCCCACTAGTCCCCTTATATATAAAATTTGAAACATTTCCTTCAAGTGCGACGTCCATCAGTGAGATTTGCTTTATTTGACATAAGGCATTTAGGACAGTCACTTTTGAATGGATTTGTGCCTTTTGGAAGAGTCACATAATATACTTTGTGAGTGTATTATCACTGTTGCTGAAAGTATAGTTGCCCAGTGCTTCACTGTAGAGGGTACTGGAAGTTTCAGGGTTGGAGTTCTAGATTCTGCCCTATGTGTCCCCCAATGGCTTTCATCTGTGTCACTTTGTTGATAAACTGTAACCAAGAGTACAACAGCTTTCAGTGAATTATGTGTCTTTCTAGTGAATCACCAAACCTCAGAGTGGTTGGGGGAAGAGGGACACAAACTTGCAGTTGGTATCAGAACCAAGGGTGGTCTTGCAGACCTCCCTAACTTTCATTTTCTGTTTCTTCGATACACCTTATATTTCCCTCTCTGTGGCACAATTCACACCATTGTTGGAATGTTCGCTCACCCTCATTACTTTTCAACAAAATGTGACTCATGCTTTAAGGTCTACCTCAAAATGCCACCTCTTCCACAAAGCCTTTCTCTTTTTAATATTTTTGTTTTCGTTTTTTCAGACAGAGTCTCACTGTGTAGTTCAGGATGGCCTTGAACTCATTATGTAGCCCAGACTAGCCTCAAACTTGCAGCAATCTTCCTGCCTCAGCCTCCCAAAAGTGATATTACAAGGTTGCACTACCACGCCTATCATTCTCTTTTAATAGTTTTACTTAGATATATTTCACATATATCATAAAACTTAATCATTTAAATACCCAGTTAAGGATTATTTAGTATATTCATAAAGTATAAACATTGGTTACTGTCATTTTTAGAACATTTTTCATTACCCTAAAAAAAAAAAAACACTTTTCAGCCTCCCAGAGTGCTAAGACTAAAGGCACGTTTTACTCAAGGAGTGGTTTTAGCCAAATGCTTTTTCCTTATCTATGAGATGATCACATGGTTCTTGTCCTTTAAGATATTATTATATTAATCTTCACATTTAAACCAACCTTGCATTTAAGGAATAAATTTTCTTGATCTTTTTTTTTGGTACCAGGGATTGAACTCAGGTCCCTGTGTTTGCGAGGCAGGCGGCGGAACCAATGAGCTAAATATCCGGCCCTTCTTGCTCATTTCTAATCCTTTTTTTTGTTGTTGCTAGTTTTGCTCATATTTTGTTGGCTTTTTTTTTTTTTTTTTTTTTTTTTGGAGACAGGGTCTTGCTATATAGTTCAGGCTGGGCTTGAACTATGTAGCCCAGTCTAGCCTCAAACTCTCAAACTTGATCCTCCTGCCTCAGCCTCCCAAGTGCTGGGATTACAGGCATGTGCCACCATGCCTGGCTCTATTTAATACTTTCTAAATCTGTTTTCATAAAGGATATTGGCCCACAGTTTTCTTATGATGCCTTGGTCTGGTTTTGTTACCAGGGTAACACTGGACTCAGAATGAATTGAGAATTATCCTCCCCTCTTCTGTTTTTTTAGAAGAGTTTATATAGGATTGGTTGTAATGCTTTAAATATTTAGTGGAATTCACTGTGAAGCTATGTGGACCTGCACTCTTCTTTGCAGGAAGTTTTAAAATTACTAATCTCTGTTAGAGGCCTATTTAGATTGTTTCTCCTCAAGTTAATTTTCATAACCTATGACTTTCTAAGAATTTGCCCATTTTACCTAAATCATCTCAATTTGTTAGAATGTAATTGCTTGAGTTGGGCATGGCACACACCTATAATCCTAGTATTCTGGAAGGCTGAGGCAGAAGGATCATAAGTTTGAGCCCAGCCCACCCAACTTAGTGAGACCCTGTCTCAAAATGAAAAATAAAAAAGGACTGGGGAATGTAGCTTAGTGCAAAGGCCTGGGTTCAATCCTCAGTACAAAGACAAAAAAAAAAAAAAAAAAAAAAAAAAAAAAAAAAAAGTTTATAGTAGCTTATTTCTACAAGGTCAGTAGTGCTATTTTTCTTTCGTTACTGATTTTAGCAATTTGACTCTTCTGTTATTGGTCAGTCTATCAAAGGTTTGTCAAGTTTGGTGATCTTTTTCAAAGAACCAACCTGTACTCTCATTTTTTTCCCCTAGTCTTTATTACATTTACTTTCACATTAGTTTTAGTGTTTACTCACATGCTTGCTTTGGGTTTAGTTTGCACTTTTTCTAGTTTGTTAAGATGGAGGAGCAGGTTATTAATTTGAGATTCTTCTTTTTAATGTGTTTACAGCCATAAATATCCCTCCAACTACACTGTGTTAGCTGCATCCCATAAATTTTGGTAGACTGTGTTTTGTTTTCTTTTACCTTGAAGTCCTTTCTAATTTTTTTTTCTGATTTCTTCTTGGACTTCCTCCTCCCATTATTATGTGTTGTTTAATTTCAACATTCTTGTGAATTTTCCATTTTTCCTTGTTATTTACTTCTAGCTTCATTCCATTATGGATAGAGTATGATTTACATGGTTTCAATCTTTCTAAATTTATTGAGATGTTTTACAGCCTAGAATTAATTCATAGATAATGTTCCATGTATAATTGAGAAGATTGTGCATTCTGCTATTGCTAAGTGGACTGTTCTAAAGTGTATGTCTGGTAAGTCTACTTGGTTTTGGAGGTTTCTGTTTCTTTGTTTTTGTTGTTTGTTTTTTGTTTTGGGATCAAAATAGGGACCTTGTACTTGCCAGCTAGGTGTGGTGCCACTGAGCTAAATCCCCGACTCATTGGGGTTTTTTTTTGTTGTTGTTGTTGTTGTTAGTTTGTTTTTGTTTTTTTTTTTTTTACTCAGGGTCTCACTACATAGTTCAAATTGGCCTTGAACTCACGCTGTAGCTCAGGCTGGCTTCATACAGGGATCCTTCTACCTCAGCCTCCTCAGTGCTGAGATTACAGGCATGCACCACACCTGGCCTAGGTCTACTTGGTTTACAGTGGTGCTCAAGTCTTCTATTTTCTTTTTGATTTCTGCCTAACTGTTCAATCCATTATTGAAAGTGGTACTGAAGTCTGTGGTTCATAAGTCTTTCCTTATATTTTCTGAAGTAGTTATCTAATGCTATATAAAAAATTACCACAAAACTTAACAGCTTAAAACAATAAACATTTACCTCAGTTTCAGGAGGCTGGAATATAGAAGCTGCTCAATTTAGTGGTTCAGACACAGGGTCTCTCTTGAGGTTGAAGTCATGATGCTGGCTCTGCTATATAGTCATCTGAAGCTTTAACTGGGGCAGAAGAATTCACTTCCTAGGTAGCTCACTAACATGATTAGCAGAGGTACTGTTCAGCTTCTTGCTACATGACCTCTCCGTAGAACAACATGGAAGCTAACTTGCTAGAGAGTAAGTGACTGAAGGAGGCCGGAGCGCCATTTATGGCCCAGTCTTGGACCTCACACCATGACTTCCCTCAATACTCTATTCATCAGAAGCAAGTTACTAAGTCCAGTACAAACTTAAGGGCAGAGCAGTTAAGCTCCGCCTTTTGTAGGGGAAAATGTGGACATATTTTCAAACCATCTGTTTACCCTCTTACCATAAATTACTTAAATTTTTGCCATTCTAAAATATACCAACTGCTCCCAAAACCTCACAAATCTCACATCTTCACAGCATCGGGTCAAAATCAAAGATTCTGACACCTAAAACAGGAACATATGAAGTCTGCAAGTATAGTTTAAGTACAGTTCCTTTAGATCTACAAGCCTGTGAACTAGAGACAAATTATCTTCCCTCAGTGTGTCGAACATAGAATTGTGGAACAAGTACAACAAAACTGCTACAGAAGGGGCCGGGAATTTTAGCTCAGTGGTGCTGTAAGCACAAGGTCCTAAATTCGATTCCTGGTACAGAAAAAAAAAAAAAAAAAAAAAATGCTACAGAGGCCCGGCATGGTGGGGCATGCCTATAATCCTAACACTTGGGAGGCAGGCTAAGGCAAGGAAGATCACCTTGAACTGAGGATCAGCCTGAACTGCACAGAGAGATCCTGTATTAAAACAACAACAAAAACAGAAGACAGGGATGTAGCTCAGTGGTACTGTGCCTGAGGGGCAAGCACAAGGTCCTGAGTTCAATTCCTGGAACCCAAACAAAAAACAAAACCACCACCACCCCAAAGGGTGGTGGAACAGGGATAGTTACAAGTGAGTTACCAGTCAATGGTAATTCTAACATCTAGCCAGGCAAATGCTGCAAGTTCCTTGATTAGAGCTTGCTCTTGCCAGAGAACAATTCTCACTCTGGGCTCTTAGGTTTTGCCCTCGAAGTCGTCCCATTTTGCACCTGAGTAACTGTCTCAGCCGGCCTCCTGCCTGTAAAAGGTTGAGGTCCTCAGGACTTACTTTTATTTGATAGTATTATTCCATTGTAAGTTCCTAAAAGCTTTGTGGATCTTCTGTGAATGAGTAAACTCTAGCAAAGAGCCATACCCACAAACCTTTTTTTTGCCCCCTGTACCGGGGATCAAACTTAGGACCTCATACTTATTTGCCAGGCAGGGATGCTGCCACTGAGCTACATTCCTGGGCCAAAATTCTTTAAAATAAGCCCTTTTAAAAAAAATCTTTTTATTTTCATTAGTATGTTTTCAGTACATAATGTTTATACTCGAGCGGCGTATATAGCATACCTTAATTCCTCTTTTTAATCCCTTTCCTCCCTTCCCTTTTCCACATTTGGTTTCTGCTGAATGTAAGATTCTTAGAAGTTCTAGTGTTGCCTAAATGACTCTCTGAGGGACCATTAGAACTGAGAACTTTTCAAGAACTTACTAAGAGTTTTAAAAAGATTACAGTTATCCTTAGCTTTATCTTTGAAGACATTTTCCTGGTAGTCCCCTAGATTTGATCTTTTCTCAGAAGCAATTTCTCAAATGTTAGCATTTGTGTGCCATCTGGAGAAGCCAGCAATCTTCAAAGCCAGCATGTCCAGGCTCCTTTTTTAAAAAACAGTCCTCCCTCCCTTCTTCCCTCTCTCATTTTTTATAACGGGGGTGGGGGGGACACAAGTAGCACCTTCAACTCAGCTTGGAAATTCTGCCAGTATCACCCAGTTACATTTTCTACTTCCACTTAACTACAGCCAACAAGGTTAAACTTTCTTTCACAGATGATGATGATGATACCCCATCCTCATTTCCAGTGAGATTTTTCCTACTTTCCTTTAAACTCTTACCCATAGCAATCCCAAAAGCCCTCATAATTCTACAAAGATGGAGGAGGGGGAGCTTTAGTTGTTGTTTTTGTTTGTTTGCTTTTGGTTTTTAGTTTTTGGAGACAGGGTCTCACTATGTAGTTGAGACTGAACTGGAACTCACTATGTAGCCCAGGCTGGTCTCGAATTCACAGCGATCCTCCTGCCTCAGCCTCCGAGTGCTGGGGTTACAGGCGTGCGCCACCGCACCCAGCTAGTTGTTGTTTTTGATTGTTGCCTTGTTGGGAATCTAACCCAGGGCAAGTACTCAACCACTGAGCTATAGCCCCAGCCTAGAAACCATTTATTTAAAACACTTCAACCTTTCACTAGCTTCTTCATTGAAGTCCTTCCAGCTGTCACCCACTGTCCATTCCAAAGCAACTCATATTTTAGGCTTTTGTTATGTCCCTTTCTATGATCAAAATATGTACTCATTTTCTATTGCTACATAACAAACTACCACAAAACTTGGTGACTTAAAACGAACATTTGTTATCTCACAACTTCTGTACACCAGGAACTTAGGAGAAGCCTAGATGGGTGTTCTCTCTCAGTTTCTCGATGTTGTAATCAAAATTATCAACCACAGTTGCAGTATCCACTTTTGAGACTGCCCACTGACCCAAATGCTGAGGGCAAAAGCCCTCAGTTCCTCACTACATGGACCTCTTACCAGAAAGCCTGAGTGAGCTGGCTTCCCTCGGTGAGAAACAAACAAAAATGTTACTTATGACCTAGCCTCAGAATGCTAATGCTACCTTTTCCACCACATCTATTCACTAAGAGTCACTAAACACCATCCATACTGAAGGAGAAAGAAATTAGGCTCCTTCTTGGAAAGGGAGAAATACTGAAAAATGTGTTGACATACTTTAAAACCACCACATTCCTCTCTAATAAAACAATCACTTCTCTAAGCCCCTAAAACAATTTTCTTATTCCTCCAAGACAATTATATATTTAGACTGATATTTATATACTTGGTTTATTCCCTGTTGCTAGAGTAAAAACTATTTTCAGTTTATAAAAAAATTTTATTAATGGGGCCGGGTATTTTAGCTCAGTGGTTCCACCACCTGCCTCACAAGTGCACGTTCTTGAGTTCAATCCCCAGTACAAAAAAAAAAATTATTAGTACATGTTTGCAGTACATGATGGTTACATTTGTCATGGGGAGGTGGGACATGTACTTAATTTCTTTATTGTCTGAGGGCATCTTACATGTTATAAAGAAAACAGTGGATCAGGAATCAGAAAACCTAGAAGCAAGGGGCAGAGGTTGTAACTCAGTGGTAAAACACTTCCCTGTCATGTACAAGGTCCTAGGTTTGATTCTCAGCATGGCAAAAAAAAAAAAAAAAAAAAAAAAAAAAAGAAAAGAAAACCTAGAATCAAGTCTCTGAGCTACATTTACTATACTGATGTAATCTGGAGCAAATCTCATTGGGCCGAGGATTTAGCTCAGTGGTGCCACCTGCTTTGAAAGGGCAAGGTCCTGAGTTTGATCCCCAGTACCAAAAAAACAAAAACAAGCAAACAATCTCCAAATATCTGAACTTCAATCTAAATCTGTAAAATTGTAAAATGGAGATAATAAGACTACTTCTCCAAAGACTAGGAGAAATAAGATGAAATTAAAGACTTTTTTATTCCTTATAACCCTGGAGACAACATACACAGGAGTCAATGAGCACAGGCAGGGAAAGAAAGAAGACCTGTGAATTAATGCCTTTACAGTACAGTCTTGGGTTCAGAGCATCATCCAAACAGGCTTCCCTTGGGGAGTCTTAATTGGTAGGTTTAAAGCATGCAGGCATGAGTTCCAGGAGGTTATGTAGTGACTGAGAGGATGTCATATCCACACAATCCATGTGAGGTATGATGGTCAACCAGGCCAGTCAAACAGGCTAACCTAGTCATACCAGAGGGAAGTGGTCACCAGGGAGTAACTGTATAAGGCAGTATCGGGATTGACCATAATTGAGGAACTGGGGTAGAGCTGGAAACTGTCAACAGGGAATGAGCCCTACCTCTGTTAAGAGAAAGTTCAATTTATAATTTTTACAATAAAACCTTTTACGTGAGTGCCAATGCTGACACCTTGGACTTCAATACTTTTATTATTCTTTTCAGTTTCTATAAAGCAAACTTTTCTTTTCTTTGGAGATAGGGTCATACTATGTAGTTGACTGATCTGGAACTCACAGTGATCCTCCCGAGTGCTGGGATTATAGACGTGTGCCAAAATGCCTGGCCAAACTTTTCTGTTAAAAAAAAAAAACAATTCCAAAACTGGAAATGATGGCTCATGCCAGGAGTCAGAAAACCTAGAAGCAAGGGGCTGGGGTTGTAACCCAGGGGTACAGCATTTGCCCAGCACTGTAATCCTAGTATTTGGGAAGCTGAGGCAGGAGGACTGCCATGAGTGCAAGACCAGCCTGAACTACATAGCCAGACGCTGTCTCCAAAAAATAAAATAATAATAATAATAGGGTGGTGAGGGAGTACAGTGTGGATAACGGAAAGGTTGCTATTTTATGGGGATTAGGAGAGAATTCATTGATAAATTGATGTCTGAACAAATGAAGGCGTAGCTGTGTGGCTATCTTATCCCTATGTATTTTGGGCAGAGGAGTATACAAGTAGAAAGCACAGCTGTACTTCACTTGAAGAATAGCAAGAGCAGTGTGGTGGCACACACCTGTAATCCCAACACTCTGGAGGCTGAGGCAGGAGGGTCAAAGTGAGTTCAAGGCCAGCCTGGACTACAAAGCAAGACACTGTCTCAAAAAAACAAAACAAACAAAAAGGACAGTAAGGGAGAGCTGGGAAAGGCAAATTAATGAAGTGCAAAATGTGTAAGAGCACATGCATGGTTAGATGGTACTCACGGGCCTTAAAAAGATTCTGGGTTGCGGGGGGCAGGTACCAGGCATCGAACTCTGGACCTTGCACTTGCCAAGCAGGCACAGTGCCACTGAGCTAC